CGGCGACCCCGTGACTGTCTTCAAAAGCTCTTGCAAACTTCAGCCTGTGACTTCCTTTAGAGTCAGTCCATCTTGTTAACTGATCTTCCTCCTTTCCTGCTGCCTTCTACTTTTTTTTTGGCCCGTCTGTTCATGTCGCGCCCGAAGTGCAAGACAGTCGGCTCGGTTAGGTTTGCTTCTACAGGGAATTTAGGCTCGATGTGCTCTCCAGTCCAACTTACTGCAACCCTATGCCTGAGAGATCCCCCAAACGGCCTGTTTCTTAACAGCCCCGCTCAGCAATTCAACTCAAGCCTGGGGCTTCCTTTTTAGGGAGTCGGTCCGTCTCGTATTGGGCCTCCCACCTTTCCCACCATGATGGCCTTTTCCGGAGAATCCTGCCTAGGAACATACGTTGTTGTTTTTTTTCCCCAGTTAGCAGTCCTGCTTGGCTGGTGTCAAGGGGGTGAAGCTTGAGACCAGCAAAAGCCCCCCCCCGAAAAGAGTTGAACTCGCCTCTAAGGAGCAGACCTGGCACAACCACAAAGGATTGTGGCACAGCCCAAGGACGTGGGCTTGGCCCACAAAAGCTCCCTGTTTTGCCCAGTTTTTTTTTAGTGGTCTAATAAAGGTATCGCCCGCCTGCTCTCTGGCTTTTCACGTCATTGATTTATTGCACGGCCTTTCCAAAGAGCTGGAGGGAGCCAGAAAAAGGAGAAATGTCTGGGCTGCTTTGACCTCAGTGGGACCGGTGGGACCCCTGACTGTACATGATGGGAAACCGGAGTTGGGGGGTGATGCCGCCGGGGCTGCAGAAAGACCAGACAAGCCTTTTCCTTCCTTGTCAGGGGGAGAAACCTGCTGGAGGTTTTCTGGTGGGTGGGGGCACCGCCTGGCGTGGCCGTTTTCACTTTCTCGAGGGCACGAGCGGGTGGTCGCCACGTCCCAGTGAGCCAGGACCGGGGTTGGGAGATTACCCCCCCTCAAGATAAACCCCGGGTTCAGACTGACCTGGGAGGTAAGAAAAGTAAAAAAGGGGGGGCAGGGCCGCTTGGAGGAGGAGGAGGAGGAAGGGGAGGGAAGGGTGTAAATGCCCTCCTGCCGCAGAGGTGGAGGGCAACTTTTTTTGGGGGGGGGCATCCCCAACACTTGCAGTGGTCCTTCTGGCTGGTCGGCCAGCTGAGAAGTTGAGGCCTCTGGGGGTGGGACCAGAGGTTGGGAGTTCGATCCTCCCCCACCCCCACCCCTGAGCATCATCTCCTGGTCCTCCTGGCTGTGGAGCCGCCGGAGGTCGGGAGATCGGGGGTTCGATTCCTCCGCGGTGCCTCTCCTGGGAGAAGGGCCAGCCTCGGTGGCCTGGGGCCGGCTGCGGTGGGGGGGGGTCCCAGAAACGCCTCCAGCAGCAGGAGGACGATGACGAAGAAGGGTAAAGGAGAGGGAGGGATCCTCTTCTGCGTGTCCCCCGCAGGGCCCTCCATCATCCAT